CAGCCTCGCTGGCGGGGACGCCAAGAGGGGATTTGGGGAGGGCTTTCTAAGCCTCACCTCGCCGACACGGGCTACACGGCTCGCACGGCCCAGGGGACCCAGCCTCCCGGAGTCCCGGCGAGGGCAGCCGAACCCTGGGCACTCCGCTCAGGGGTGTGGCGTCCGCAGTCTCCCCGTTTCCCAGTCCAGCCACATCCCTTCCCCTCCGCCCTCCCCCTGCAGCCACCTGGAAAATAGCTCTGCTTCCTCAGGGAAACGATGCGAAAGGAATAAACCCCGGGACGCAGCGCTGAGCAGAGACGCGTGGCTACGAGGTGCGGCCCGGCCCGGAGCGGAGCGGAGACAGCCCGGGAGCCCGGACCCCAGGACCCCTGAGCCCCGAGCCGCGGCTGGCGCAGGCGGGNAGGAACTGGGGTCTCCACGGCCACCATCCCGGGGCTCGCTCAGCTCAGCGCTCATTCCCGGCTCCCCCTCACCCTTCATCAGCCCCTCCGCCGCCACCACGGGGGGACACAGGAGACCTCCGGGCTGCCCATCACCGGAGGCATTTTGCCCGGGTCAGACGCTAGAAAAAACCATCCTCACACAAGAGCCCAGTGGGACAGGCCACGGTCCTAACACCCACACAATCATTTCACAAATTATCATAATTATCAATCCATCACCCTGTGCGGACAATGCCAGCTGGGCTATCGGATGACTTTTATGACCTGTAGCATTTTGTACGTAATAACAGGGAGAGATTTATGGACCCATCACGTCCCCTCTTCCAGCAGTAGGACTTTATTAGCTCGATTTATTTTTGACTCTCCGAAGCCCCTGCCTCCCCGTGCGCACCGGCCGGGGCGGCCACAGCCCCCCAAGCTTCCGAAGAGACATCTTCCCGGGTCACCCCGGTCCCAGCCCTACGGATGCCACTTCCCGATTTATTTATTTGTGGTGGGGGGGGGCTGGTGGAGACGGGAAAGAGGGAAAATACATCTATAAAAATAAAGAAAAAGGCCGCTTTCCTTTGTGTGCGTTTGCTCCCGGTTGTGCCGTATTAACGCGCCCGCCCTTTCTTTTCAAGGCAGCCCCAGAAAACAAGACAGAGCGGCGCAGACCCAAGGCTGCCGGGCCGCGCGTCCCCGTCTCATATCTCCGAAGAGATTGAATCAGAATTCCTTTAGCTGATACCATCTCCCCGGGTGGACTACGCTCTCGTTAAGGGATAAATGCAAGCCCTCCGGAAAGTAAAGAATAAATTTAAGCCTTTTGCCAAATGTCTATCCTATTGGATTTTGATAAGACGGCCATTGAGCCTTAATAATGTCTTCCATCCATTTTCAGTGGGCCCTTAACACGGCTCTTTATTTGTCCCCAAAGCCTCTTCGCCCGGCCTTTTTATTACCGGCTCCGGCGGGCTCTCCAGGGAGTGGGGCGACCCGAGTGATGGATGGACCACTGGTTAGATTATCTCCCGCAGATGTTTGCTCTCCCGGAGCCCGGGGCTTTCCCTCTGAGTAAACAGAGACTAAATAGAGTCGTTGGAGGGACAGTCCCAGAGGTCCTGGCACCTCGGCGAGAAAAGGCGTCGCAGCCGGACCTGCAGCCAACGTGACTTCAGGGGGCAGCTTCAGGGCCATACGCCCTGGGGGGGTTGGGGGCGGCGAGGGCACAGGGACGGGCAAGCACGGGTCCGAGTCTCATCGGCACCAAAGCTCCCGGCTGCTGGGGTTGCAGAGGGGACATGGGGACAGGGGCTGTGGGGGGGCTGAGAAACATGCAAGAATTCGGAGGCCAAGATTAGAGGGATGGAGAAGGGGCTGGAGGTA